GTTGTTCTGTGTGTGTGATTGTTCTTTGTGTGTGTGGAGAGTACTGTGTACTATGTGTTTGTTCTCAGTGTGTGATTGAGCAGTGTGTACAATATAACTTTATCATATTGCTGTGCATTTGTATTTCATTATTCAGGGTGATGATCAATTATTTATGTCATCTGTGTAAAATACAACTATTTATTCAGAATATTGTATTCAAATTCAGAGTGAAGTACAATGTCAACAAATTCCGTTTATAGAAACTTGAATACTAACAAAATTATCCATACTTAATCTCTATAAACATACAATAGCGTGTTTATCCAGTAGATGCATCACTCCATATCATCATATCCCTTGCAAAATAACTGCCTGACCGTTGCGATTAAAAATAGATTATACCTTAAGATCACATCACATCACATTGCTTGCAGTGAGCGCTTGACCGTTGAGATTAAAAATATATTATATCTTAATATCACAATGTTTCAATTAACCACTTATCCAGTTCAGGGTCAGGGTGGCCCAGAGCCTATCCCAGAATCCATTGGGTGGAACGCAGGACACACCCTGGACAGGACGCTAGTCCAACACAGGACAGACACACACACACACACACACACACACACACACACACACACACACACACACACCGGAGCGAATTTTCCCACAAGCCAGTTCACCTCCCAGCATGTGTCTGGACTGCAGCAGGAAACAGGAGCACCCGGAGGGAAACCCCACGCGGACACGGGGGGAACATGCAAACTCCACACAGACAGCACCTTAGTCTGTAATCGTGAATGTAATGTATGTAGAGTTGCTCGCTGGATCTATTTCCTTTGGTGAATGTATACCTCCTTGGAGGCTATATTATATGTGAAGTGTAATTGGGGTGGAGTGGTGGCTCTGTGGCTCAGGATCTGTGCCTGTGGCTAGGAGGTTGCTGGTTCAAATCCCGCAGCCGGCAGAGGACTCCTACTCTGTTGGGCTCCTGAGTAAGGGCCTTAACCCCAACTGCTCCAGGGGCACCATACAATGGCCAACCCTGCGCTCTGACCCCCAGCTTCTCTCCCTGTCTGTGTGTCTCATGGAGAGCAAACTGGGGTCTGAGAAAAGACTAATTCCTAACACAATAAATTGTAAAGGGTTAATAAAGTGATATTATTATAATTGGAAAGACGTTCCGGGCAGTCCAGTAAATGAAAAGAGCAGCCTGCAACATAGTCCTCACCTTCCGGTAGTTTGTGTTATAGCACATACTGTACACGATAGTGAATGCTCAGTGTTGTCTGCAATGTGGACTGTTCTCAGTGAGCTGATCTAATGGATGATGTGGCACATTGCGCTGATGTGCACTTGGGATAAAGAGGCAAGGGTGTTGTGCAAGGCTGTGGTTACCACTCACATGGGCAGAAGCACAGACACGCTAGCATATCTTACCGTCCTTCCAACTGCAGGTTTGAGTAGACTGCTTCTTCATTATTCAGATTAGCCCTTAAAATGGCTCGAACGAGGGTGGCGTGATAGCACAGGGGGTCAGCATTGCTGCCTTGCAACGCTGGGGCCCTGGGTTCAATTCTGGACCTGGGGTGCTGTCTGGGTGGAGTTTGCGTGTTGTCCCTGTGGGTTTCCTCCAGGAGCTCCTCTCTTTGTTTCTCCCACAGTTCAAAGACAGGCTGGTGGGTGAACTGGCTTCTGGCAAAGTTAGCCCAGGCATTGAGTGTCCCTGTCTGGAAACCCACTAATCCCACTAGTCTGGAAACGGGGAGAACACGCAAACTCCACGCAGACAGCACCCCAGGTCCGGAACTGAGCCCAGAGCCCCAGCACCGTGGAGCAGCAATGCTGACTGCTGGGCCACTGGCATTTGCTGTAATGTGGTGATAGAAATTGTGTTCAATATACCAGATGAAGCCTTGCTTACACTAGCTGTGGACTCTTCCACGGGAGTTCCCCTGCTTTCTGTTTTCAGTGTGAAGTTAAACTGGACTTGCTGTACTCAGTTTTGGTTTTCCAGGAGACTCTGAGTCAGTCTGTAGAGCACTGCTGTGTCACGGGTGTGCACTCCAGTCCGGGGTGGGCTTCACTGAAGGTCCCTGGATCGGTCTCTGGGGCTCTGAGAGACCACAGTGCTCATTTTTCGGCTGATTTCGGAGAAACGGCCCGTTTTCTCCCAGGTCCAGGTCAGGCCGCCTGGATTTAACCTTTTACAGTTTGTCGGTGAAGCCGTCTGCCCGAGTGCACCAGAACGTGCCTGCTCCAGGGAGATTTTGTTTTTAGTCGTTCAAAAACACAATCAAAGGAAATGGCCTTGCCTCACCCGCGACACATCAGTAACACAGAGACCGATGCAGAGTGAGGAATGAGCGCAGTTTAACTTCACACAGGACAATGAGGAAGAAGAGTCCACAGCCAGTGCTTAAGTAAGGCTTCGTCTAGCATGTTGTACACAATTTCTATCATCCCATTACAGCAAATGCAAGCGGCCCAGTGGCACAGTGGCCAGCACTGCTGCCCCGCAGTGCTGAGGCGCTGGGTTCGATTCCTGGGGTGCTGTCTGGGTGGAGTCTGCATGTTCTCCCCTGGTTGGCGTGGGCTTCCTCCCGCAGTCCAGAGACATTATGGAGGGAGAATTGGCTTCTGGGAGAATTGGCCCGTGTGTGTGTGTGTGTGTGTGTGTGTGTGTGTGTGTGTGTGTGTGTGTGTGTGTGTG